GGGTTCTTGAGGCCGACACGGGCACGGCGGATGGCGCGGGAGATGGCCTCCACAGCCTCATCCTGGCCGATCACGCGGCCATGGAGAGTCGATTCCATGCGGAGGAGGCGGGAGGACTCTTCAGAAGTCACCTTATCGACGGGAATGCCCGTCCAAGAAGAGACGATGCGATGAATGTCGGCATCCGTGACGGTCGGGCCCCCATCCCCCGTCTCAGCCTCTGCCCGGGTCGTCTCCTTGTTCTTGTTCACAAGGGCGGACATCTGGCATCGGAGGTCCATCTCTTTATCGCGCAGTTCCCCAGCCTGGAATGAATTTGTGAGCATTATTTAAGTTGTGCGGAATTGCAACTGGTGCTCTTTTAATAATGAAAATATACGGTAGGATGATTTTGCAAGTGATTATTATCAAAAAGAAATTAAAGTTTGGGCCTAAAGGAGGGAGGATTGCCGCTAAAGAACAGTCTCCTGGTGTGATTCTATAATACATTTTACTCCATTCATAAGCAAAAACAATTCAAAAAACCTGTTATATGTGTAAAACAATACTTTCAACACAGAATCAAACATCAGGAGTTCCTTCGTATTTTTCTCACTTCTGGGTTTCTACATTTATACTTTAAACTTCTTTCTTCCGTCTTTCAACAGTGATGATAGTGGTTTAACGTTTCCAAGTTTTATTAGCTATCAGTTACATTGACGAAGATGCAACAGAGGATGGCCATTTAGCTTACCTTTTCAAAGTCTTGACTTCGAACGGCTTCATTCTTCTCCTTTGTTATCTGCCTGAGCTCTCTTTCAAGTTCTTTACCTTCCTCAGGAAGCTGCAGCAGAGGACAGAAGTTATCACCAAAGATCACACTGAAAAATATAGTGGCAATTGAAGGAAACAAATCAAACCTGCGCATGATGAAGGCGGACTCGAGAACCAGCTTCATCAATCAAGTCAATTGCTTTGTCTGGCAAAAACCGGTCACTAAAACAATGCAAAGGTAGTGTTAAAAGGCTGGCATTTGCCATTTCAGAACATTTACATCTAATTTAAGACTGGAAAAAACTACCGACACGATGAAGGGTAAAAATGCAATAATAAACCTGAGGTACAGTCTTTAGTACAGAAGTCGAGTTAAGTTTTAAAATAACAAAATATTCCTCGAGGCTTCGCAGTTACCTTTCAGAACTTTGTTACTGTTTCTTACACTCTCCCCATGTCAGGTGCTTTTTGTGGTAAGCAAGGTGATATTGTAATTACAAAAATTTAAATTTTGAACTTAGATATATCCCATAAGGGCAGAGGCACTAGTAACTACCCCCATGAACTTTGTTTCTGTTTTACAATTCCCCCTCAAATGATGTAACTGGAGGGAAATATTTTGTATGTAGACAAACCTAAACAGCAGCTTTAAAAAATATCCTGATAAATGAATTCGCGAAAGATCAATTCGTCAAACAAGAACCACATATAACAAGGCCTTCACCAAATGCACTTCACAGCAATGTACCAGACCATGATTATTAATAAATCACTACCTGATATATTGATGGGACAATTGTGCAGCAGCATCTATAGCTTCATCAGTGTAACGGACTTTGTGGTGTATCTCATATCGTTCACGTAACCCTCTAAGAATCTGAATGGCTTCCTCAACAGTGGGCTCGGGGACCTTCACGGGTTGAAACCTTCTTTCTAGTGCTGGATCTTTCTCAATGTGCTTTCGGTACTCATCAAGTGTAGTTGCCCCAATACACTGTTAAAGTACAACACATGCAGGTGAAAAACTAAAATTGAAACTTGCAAAAGAAACCACCAAAGAGGTTTGGTTCTGTTTAACTTAGGCATCTGTTGAGTTGATGTAACAGAATTTGTCCTAACATCATATATTTTCCTTACACTTCAAATATTCAAATTATAACCTTAGGAACAAAATGTAATGCTCTTCTAATAGTTTTCAGGTTAGCTGGATATTATTGGAACTTGGTCAAGCCTAACAGGTGATTGTGAAGTTATCCAAAAGAATAAAAAAGGATCAGTGAGACGATAATTAGTTGAACGAACAATAAGATCAGTATTAAACCCGCTTAAAAAATCATGATCATTGTGCAAAAAATCTCTACGAGTTTAATTAAATTCAAACACATGCTGTAAAATCAAAACAGAAAGCTGAGAAGAGAACAATACAATAGAAGGGTGCATTATTAAGAATCTCAACACTGACATTGATTAAACTTGGAGCATGTTTACAGAATGATGGTTATATAAATTTTAAGTGAAACCTGTAATTCACCCCGGGCTAAAGCGGGCTTCAAAATATTTGCAGCATCAATTGCGCCTTCAGCAGCTCCTGCTCCAATCAACGTGTGCACCTCATCAATGAAGAGTACAATGTCATCACTTTGCTTAATTTCGTCCATCAGTTTCTTCAACCTTTCTTCAAACTCACCACGATACTTTGTACCAGCAACAAGAAGGCCCATATCCAGAGTTATAACCTGAACTTAATACAATATTAAAGTAAATTTACTACTTTTTTAGGAATCATTAGAAGAAGACACTGAATAGCAATGGTGACATAGAAAAGCAGCAAAAAACTTAAACAAGCCGAAGCCTAACGAACTTTGGATTTTGTTTTGCTACTCATACATTACAATATTTCGCCCACCCATGCCTAGAGAAGATAACCCGATTAAGCATAAAGTGTAGACATGCTTATTTCTGTTGTGGTCATAGTTAATGTTTCAAAAACTAAATACTGAGCATACAAGAAGTTCAAGTTTTATTATGTGGTAGAAAAAATAATGCAAAACATTATTTTATTACCTACTATATATTATTTGCAAAACAACTGGAAATATTATGGATGACTGAAAAATCTACCATTGAAAATCTCAAATGATATTTTGAGGGTGAAAAAATATGTAGTTCCATAAAATTTAAAATACACGTATAAATTAATAATATAAAACCAGTAACAAGTTGGTTGTTGAGGATTAATCAGACAGTCAGGTTCGTATCGCGGTCCCTGGTTAAACCAGTTGAACCCAGCTTTTAAAAGATGATGTCCTGATTGTACAAGTTGCTCAAAGGAACTACAAAATTCTCTATATTATAGAAAATCAATGTTTTAATTGTTTAGATATCATCAATCCGGGACCTTTCAAGGTCAAACCATTTCTATTTTTCTTATCATAGAGTTGTCATAATAGCTCACCTTTTTCCCCTCAATCGTCTCTGGAACATCCCCATTGGCTATTCTCTGGGCAAGACCCTCTGCAATTGCTGTTTTCCCAACTCCAGGTTCCCCAATGAGGCAAGGATTATTTTTAGTACGCCTTCCCAAAATTTGGGTTACACGTTCTACTTGCTCTTTCCTCCCAACAACAGGGTCTAGCTTGCCCTAAAATAAACAAGAAGAACAAGATTAGGCCTCATAAATAAAACGGCAGATTACAAACTAAAAACCATAAAGTTTTGCTTAGGTACAGAATGTTCCACTTATCTCAAAATTGCAATTGCAAGAGCGATATAGTAACACACCCATGAGTTTTGTGATTGTTTCAGAAAGTGAGAAATAGTAATAAAAAACAGCTTTGAGGTTCCGCCTAATTAGAATAAAAATACATTTTACAACATTAAAGTTTCCTGAATATGCACAACTCAACTTTTAATCTTATGTTTTACAAAAGCATCTTCAACTGTTCTGAGTATTAAAAGATTGGGGCTAGTAGCATTATTTAGTAAGTGAAGGTTTAACTGAAAATCTTCGATCATATTAGGTATTAGGGTTTCCGATCATCAACTGGTGAAGGGTCAAGATCAAAATTCAAGTGTCGTTTTTCAAATTCAAACAGCCGGTAAGGGGTTTTTTTAAATTATCTCAAACCTAAGTAGCTTTTATATATAATAAATCCTGCTCTTGGGGGTGCAACCATTCAATGAACAAATATTGAAAGAGATACATATGATTTTAACAAGTGGACTTTCTTGTAACTGAACTGCAGGTACTTTTGTAGTTCATTCCCTGCTAAAACTTAACATCATATATGAGGAATCGAAAGATTCCTACCTCCTCAGCCAACATTGTCAAATTGGTACCATACTCCTCCAGTGTAGGCATTTTGCTCCCGGAGCTTCCACCTCCAACACCAGCACCAATGGTCTCAGCACTCTCACCAACCATTCTAATAACCTAATTGCAAAAAGGAAATCCTTCAGGTTCAGAATATCAACACCATAGGGAAAAAAACGAACATACATATAAAAAAAAGGGTGTGAAAAGCATTTACCTGAGCTCTAATGTTACTAAGGTCAGCACCTAAATTCTCAAGGACACGAGCCGCCACGCCTTCACCCTCCCGAAGCAATCCAAGAAGCAAGTGCTCAGATCCAATGTAATTGTTACCAAGCTGCCGGGCCTCCTCTAATGACAGTTCAAGGACACGTTTTGCACGGGGGGTAAAAGGTATCTCAACCGGAACAAATCCACTCCCACGTCCAATTATCTTCTCCACCTCCACACGTGCTTCCTTGAGAGTAACTCCAGTTGACTTGAGGACCTTAGCCGCAATTCCAGTGCCCTCACCGATAAGCCCAAGCATAATCTGCTCGGTCCCAACAAAATTGTGCCCAAGTCGTCTTGCCTCATCTTGCGATAGCATAATCACCTTTATAGCCTTCTCCGTGAATCGCTCGAACATTGCACGTGGAGGAGCCATTCGTTGTTTTCTTCTTTGTTTGGTTAAAGTGGTGGCATTTTTTAGCTTTGATTGAAGAGAGGGGCCGCTTTTCTGAAACATTACGTCCAAGGCATTGACCCCACGTAGTCCAATGAAACTTTGAATCCTCATGGGAGTTAAACGTGAGCTGCAAAGCATTGTGGGTGCCTTTCTTGTTCTGTTATATCCCTCAAACTGTTTGTTTTTTGCCCAACTAACAGAAGATGGCAAGCAGGTTGACTGAAGTAAAGCATGCGCCATATTTTGCCTTGGGTCTGCATATGTGCCCAAAAGTGATTATTGATTAGAGAGCAGACAATAGCAAATGTGATCAGTTATTAATTTACTCCATCACATGGAAAAACCGCAACAAACCAAAAACCGAAAATGTTAAAATGTCCAAACCGAACTGCATCGAGTGTGGAGAAAAACCAAAACAAACCAAAACCGCACCAAAAATTTCGGTTTAGTGTGGTTTTGGTGTTGGTTAACGCAAATATATTAGACTAGTCCAGTAGTACTTTCTCCAAGTCCATAAACTACCATGTACAAAAACTCAGTGCACAGTTCACAACCTTCAATCTTTTAAAATGTCTTTCGAAACCATATTACTCACCTAATACATAACTAAAAAGTACGAAAGTCTCAGACACTATTATAAAAAAAAAATACCGAAATTGGGGACAAAAAAACAACAATTAAGGATGGCGGAGAGTTAGAGAGTCAGAGCTTACATAAATTGGAGAGGCAAAGAGCTGGATTGGAGAGGCAAAGAGCAGCCACCGGCGGACAGGGGCAGGAGATAGACGAGAAGAGAATGAAAGCCTAAAGGTCAGAGTGTGAGACGAGTTGCGAGTGCGGAGCTTACATAAATTAAGCACGGCGGAGGCCGGAGGAACGACGACCGAGCCCCAGAAGCTGGCGATTGGAAAGGCAAAAAGTAGCCGGCGACGGGCGAGAGAGAAGATGAGAGTGAAAACCGAAAGGTAAGTCTGAGATGGGACGAGACTCAGTTCTGAAAAAACTAGGGTAAAAAGAAAAGCATGGTTAGAGATGTATATGTGATAATGTGTGGGATAACTTTTTAGATTTTCTCAAGTTCAAATTGATTTTAATTCCAATCTTCCAACAATTCCTTGGGAAACAAAACGACGACATTCTCCTCTTTTTCCCTGTTCATAAATATCAATCCTTTCTCTATATTTCATAAACAGAAATTCACCACAAACCCGTATTTGTAAGCATAAAAACTAGAATTAACATCATTCCAACCCCAATACATACTAGACGAGCGTAGACCGGAGCTCGAAAACACACGTTCATCCGCAGAGCTTAAAGAGCAAAAAAAAAAAAAAGAATGCACAAAATTACCGTTATCGGTGTCGGACCGGTGTGCCAATGGGTCTCTGATGGCGCTTCTTCTTGAAACAGCTTCGGGCCGACTTTCCTTGCCGAGTGTTTTTGGGGCTAGTGTTCTTCAATTCGCGAAGCTGGAATCTCCTTGCCGAGTGAGAAGAGAAGAGAAGAACTGTGTTTTTTTGGGCCGACTCTCCAATTCGCAAAGGTCGATTAAACATCATACATCCCCATGCGTGTATATATATTAAAAAACCTCAGATAAATTTTCCTTTATAATATTTTGTGTTATGTTCGCAAAAAAAAAAAGTACATTTTATTCAAATTAATTTACATAACACACTTCAACTTCATTTTTTTTTTATTTTTTTTGGTACAAAGAAGGAGGCAAAACGCCTAAAGACCGTTAGACAATGATATTCCGTGGATAAGCAATGCCAACAATATCATGTTGTAACACAATGTCATTTTTTTTTAATTGCATATACATTGGGAAAATAAAATATTACTAAATAGATATTAGATAAAAAAAA